ACAAAGGCAAGCTGAGTGCCGGGGAGAGGATGTTCCCCCAAGTGAGACGGGGCTGGACCGTGGGAGGTGGGGGAGAGGGAGCGCTGGGGGTGGGGGGGCGTGCTGAGCAACCAGCGCTGACAGCAGAGGCGCCCAGGCGGAGGCTCGAGGAACCAGGTGCGAATCCTGTGCCTGGGGGGGGGGGCACGACACCTGCTCACAATGGATTTTCTCATCTGCTCCGAGGTTTCGCGCCCCCCCACCCCGGGCTGGCGTTCTCGGCATGGTATGGTCCAAATAATTAGCAGCGCAGCCAGCTCCCCGGGCGGGCTTCGGGGGGTCTGCACCAGCAGCAAAACAATAAACAGTGAGGCCTGATGCAGCGCCAAAGTTGCCGGGAAATAAGTGCGGGAACCGTCAGAGCTCGGAGAGGGATGGAGGAGCTGAGAGAGGAGCAGAGGCAGCGGGGAGGGGGAAGGGAGGACAAAGGGTGGATGAATAATGCTTTTGCAATGGGGAGAAAGCAACACGCAGCAGGAGGGGGAAATTTGCAAAGGGGAAAAAAATTCATTTGGAGAAGGGCTGCCCCCTCACCTTGAGGTCTGCTCCAGAGATCTCCGTCTATCTCTCTCTCTCTCTCTCTCTCTCTCTCAATCTCTCTGCTCACTCTTCTCTCTTCTCTCTCCGCTCCTTCAATTGGGAAGGAGATGGGGGCGGGGGAGGGTAGTTAGGGGCTCGAGACTGGGGCTGCCAAGCTGGCCAGCTGCTGGGGGGCCAGAGGTTGTCTCTCGTCTGGACCTCGGTCTGTGGGTGAATGTAGCTGTGTGTTGTGGAACTGCATCATAACACTGTGAGTCATCCATCCCCCCACCCCCTCACCTCCCACGTCAGAGCAGGGCTGGGAGACACAGGAGGCGGGTTGGGAGGAAGGGAGGGGGCAGGCATCGAGGGATGGGTCTAGGGGAGGGAGGCGGGGTGGGAGTGGAGGGATGCTAGAGGAGAGGCTGGTGGCTGAGGAGGAAAGCAGTGTGGCCAAGGAGACAGAAGGAACCTGGGGGAAGGGCAGGGCTGGGCAAGGATGGAGTACGGCTGGCAGGCTGGAGGAAAGGAGGTGGCCAGGCAGTGACAGTGAGAGATGGATGCAGAGAATCAGGCGTGTGCACACACATTCAAGATGGTACAGTTCCCGTCTCAGCTCGGATGCCAGCCCTGACGCAGTTGGTTGAGCGACTGCCTTCGGCTCAGGTCATGATCCTGGAGTCCCGGAATCGAGTCCCACATCGGGCTCCCTGCTCGGCGGGGAGTCTGCTTCTCCCTCTGACCCTCCCCCCTCTCATGCTCTCTCTCTCCCTAATAAATAAAAAACAAAAAACAGAAAGACATATTAATTGCTACGCTGTGCCCCCCAAGCTTGAACCGGGCACTTCCAAGCCTCAAAGCGTCAGCTTAATGCCCCTGAAGGAGCCATAGATGGGCTATGACGTCTCACAAGCAGGAACCTCTTCTCAGCTACCTCCAAGTTACTTGTGCTTTGAGAACAGAGACACCCACATTACATAAGGTTCTCTACCGGGCTGTAAACTTTCTGAGAAATGTCCTCTGGGAAACTCCTCTCTGCATCCCAGGACTGCAATGCCTAGCGCAGAACCTTGCCTATAGAAGAGGATCCCCAAACAGCAGTTGAGTTGCATCTTCAGACGTGGTCCAAGTGTCTGGCTTTGGTCTCAAAGAGACCTGAGTTTGAATGCCAGCTCTGTCAGTATACTCACCAGGAGCCCCTGGGGAAGTTACTGATCCTCTTTGCACTGCCAGCTTTCCTCCCCTGCTAAGTGAAGCTCATGATATTTACCTCATGGAGATGTGAAGTAAAGTGAGGTAACATGTAAACACCAGAAAAGTGCCTGGCACATGATCAGCACTTAGTAAATGGTAGTTATTTCAAAACAGTGTTCTCAACTTCATACGCTTAAACCCAGAGAGGATTTACTATTAAATTCTGACATCTCAAGAGACACATACCAAATTGATATCTTATGAAGAACTTCCATCTTTCGGTGCTATTTTTCTATCAGCTTCCAATTATATTTCATTTGACTCAGATTCTGTTTCTCATGGAGTGCCGTCCTGTGCATATCTCTGACGTATGTGGACGTGGAACCTGTCCTCTTAAGATAAAAGCCCCAATTTCTAACAGAGGCTACCATCTAGAAAATGAAGTGTGACAAAGATTGGTACTCAGGACAGCTCTGGGTCATTTTGTCTTTTCACATATAAGGCAGGGAAGAGTAGGGTAATGGGAGGCTTTGCTAGCTGGGTCTGAAAAAATACAAGGAGGGGCACCTGGGTGGCTCAGTCGGTTAAGCCTCTGCCTTTGGATCAGGTCATGATCCCAGGGTCCTTAGATCAAGCCCCGAATCCTGCTCTTTGCTAAGCAGGGAGCCTGCTTCTCCCTCTCCCACTGCCTGCTGCTCCCCGTGCTTGTGCTCTCTCTCTCAAATAAATAAATAAAATCTTAAAAAAAAATACCAGGAATTATGAATATTTAATCAGGAAGAGTCTGGGGTTTAAGATAAATTCTGAAAACAGTGCAAGTGCCTTGAGTGGTATCACCAGCAGTTTGGAAATGAGAGGGAGAATTGGGTAAAGAAAGAAGTGTTTCTGTCTGGGAAGCGGATGAGAGAGAAAAGGTAAGTTGGGGGGAGGAATTTGAGGAACCATTCTTGAGGAAAACAATGAGAAGTGGGAAAAAGGTACGTGAGTAGTTCTTAGGGCAAGGACTGAAACTTTAGAAGCAATAAGGGGATACCAATTAATTAACTCAGGAAGAAAATGATCAAGGGTTTAGCTGGAGAGGAGAATGAAAAAGACGTGAGGACAGGATTCTTTGGGGGTGGGGGTGGAGATGGCAGGAACGCTTGGTGAGAGATGACAAGGGAGAAAAGCGAGTGTAGGCAAGCGTGGATGCTGTAAATGTTGTGCCCTCACTCTGTTTAAGAAGTGAATTGGAGGGGCGCCTGGGTGACTCAGTCATTAAGCGTCTGCCTTGGGCTCAGGTCATGGTCCCCAGGTCCTGGGATCGAGCCCCACATCGGGCTCCCTGCTCAGCGGGAAGCCTGCTTCTCCCTCTCCCTCTACTGTTCCCCCTGCTTGTGTTCCCTCTCTCGCTGTCAAATAAATAAATAAAATCTTAAAAAAAAAAAAGTGAATTGGAGGGGGCGCCTGGCTGGCTCAGTAGGAGGAACATGCGACTCTTGATCTCAGGGTCGTGAGTCAGAGCCCCACACTGGGGTAGAGATTACTTAAAAAGAAGAAGAAGAAGGAGGAGGGAGGAGGAGGAGGAGGAGGAGGGGGAGGGGGAGGGGGAGAAGGAGAAGGAGGAGGAGGAGAAGAAGAAGAAGAAGAAGAAGAAGAAGAAGAAGAAGAAGAAGAAG